GTCGTTCGTGGACATTGTAGCAACTAGAGTCAACGTACGGTTTCGAAATTCCAGGATTAGGCGTTACCCAGCACTCACCACCGATTAAAATGAGGCGTTTTAGAGTGGCACTCTTTTATAAAACAAGAGAGCGGTCACGACACGTCAAGTGGTAATTGCGGAACCAGCCAGAGTACCCAGCCAACCAAACGCCGTCTTCTTCACCGACTGAGTCATACCCCCTGCCTTTCTGAGTAGCACTCATCTTCACTACAAAACTATTATTGTAATGAAAGAGTAGCCTCCTGAGAGTAAGAAAAAAATTGTTTCATAGTAGTTGTACAAAGCATTAATATTATATAAATTATTTAGCACAACACAGTTTCACATGGGTGGCTAAAGAATTAAGCGCCCTTTAGGTACACTTGATATGGAATGACCCCCGCCCAGGGGTTGAAGAAATGATTGAGGTCATGGGCTTCATTTCCCACCATACTGAATACAATATGATGGGGGCAGACAGCAAGAATATTTGTGTGTTTAGGTTTAGTTACATCTTGAAGAACTATAAGTGATCAAAATTTATTTGACCCATTTATTATAGTGTCTCTCATGTCCCCAGTGTAGCTTTAGGATGGTTAACTCTGTGATTAAACCAAATGATCAAGGAGAAAGAATGGTGCACAAGAATAAAAAAATAATCATTCACTCTTCTTGCTGTAGCGTTGTACTTGTAATGAACCACTAGGATTGTTAACTAACTTGCATCACCCGACCCTTGAGTGTTTTCAAGAATACCTTATTTGCATAGAATATGTCCATTAAAAATAATCCACATATGAAAACCTGCAGACCTAAACCAACTGGAAAAGTAATGCAGATAATAGCTGTGTGCATTGTGATCACCTTTCAGTTTCTACAAGTGGAAGTTTTCACGTTTGCTTCTCCATATTCGTTATTATTACCAAAGTGAGTGTGAAATATATACCATTATGCTTGGGCAAAATAAGTCCAAATATCATGTTATAAACCATATTGTATTTTGCCTGCGAATGTGTACTAACAGCGCCAAAAAGGAACAGGACAAAGAAAAACAAGCTTACAGGACGAGCACTGGCCATCAACTGAACTATATTGACCAAACGGGACGGTGCACGAACATTCCCCTCAGAGATTATTGCAGCTCACTAAAGGGTGTGCCTTTCGAGCCATCTTTCAAAGCACTGTGCGCAATGCGCCTTTGCTCCAGCTTTCACGGTACTGCACTCTTGTTCTGACAAGTGAATAACAGAACAAGGAAGACAGTAGATGAGAAACATATGAAGAAACAGGCTGATATTTGCATTGGTACACCATTCATTTCCTTATGTGATGAAGAGTTTGCTAATCTTGCTTAGGTGTCTTTGCAAAAATAGTGTGCTTGTGCACTTGTCTTAACAGCAAAGTTGTTTAAGCCAGCCGTAAAAATTTTGTTGTGTTCAATTATATACTTTCTTTGTACATATTTTCTTGAACACATCTTTGTTCCAGCCTTCTGAAATTTACACTATCGTGGTGCAAGACTGGAACCAACAATGGAGCTAGTGCTTGACCTAGCTTTTAACAGCAAATCTGTTTTTAGTCGAGGTTTTCCTGTTTGTTAGTGTAGTGCTGGTCATGTGGTCTTGCGGCGTGGAAAAAGTGAAACGTGGTAAGAGAGGAATGGCTGTGCCACGTCAACGAGGGCGATCTCAGTGAAAAGAGTGAAGCAATAAGAGAAGCGCAAGTACGGGTAAGGGTGAGCGTGACAAGAGAGAGCATGATGCTGTTTCAACAGTGTTCGCAAAGTTTTGCCAGTTTTAACGTTTAGCGAAGTGATGCCAAGCTTTCGTTAAAGATGCTAAGTTTTCGCTAGTAGCATTCAGTTTGGTTAGACATGGCTATCCTTCTCCAGTTTTGGTAGGTTCACCACACTATCTACATGTCACGTGGTTTTGGCGAGAACATGTCACGTGACTAGCTGTTATGTGCTTTTGGCAGAAACATGTCATGTGACTAGATTTTGTGTGATGTTACGTGATTTATTTTGAATCATTCGTGACTACATGTTACATGATGTTACTTGGTTTATAGTGGGAACATGTCGCATGACTAGTTGCATCGCACGAAACAACTAGTCACTTGACTACTGTAACATGCCGAGCGAGCACCCCCAAACGGTGAATGGTGAAAGATAATCCGACCACATTTGAGGGGAGGGGGGGCACTTGCTTTGTCCTGTACCGAAATTTAAGATGGCAGCAGGAAAGACACGAATGTATGCAGGAATATTTTTGTTTAGAGGAGGGAGGGAGCATCACCTTGATCTGAAGTGGAGGCCACGCATAAAAATGGTCATTTTACGCTACGTATGCTGCATGCCAAGGCGAAAAAAAAATCCGGGGGGGCAGGGGGGGGCATTAGCTCAGTGTGCCACGCTCTGACTACGCCTCTGGAGAGAGCCCCCCAAAATAAGAAAAATTTACGCTATATCCTGCTAAAGAAACCATGTGTAGATGCGAAGCAGCAGGCGCTAACGCTTACACTGGCGGCGACGTTGACGCTGGCGCTCATCATAGTGTTTCGCAGGAGAGAAACCTGGGAAGGTGCAAAGCACGCATTAATGGACCAGTGTTTCCTACTGGAACATGCCAATTCCTACTAATGGGCAGTGACAGACAGAAGACTCCAAATGAAGACAGAGACCCACAGTATGCTTTTTGTAAACGTGCTTGCTGTAAATTTTCATCGTTCAACAATGCACTGGAGGAATCCCCCACCAGCACTACCATCGAGGTCAATATCCAGTGCCTATATATACGGGGTGGCCAGTGAACAGCTGTGCAGCATGAGCAGTCAGTTTTTTAAATCAAGAAACTTGCTAGCAGACGTTGCCTGCGTTAGAGTTGTGAGGCGAGAGGGGGAGGGGATGCGCATGCGCAATGGTGGTGTAAACGCCGCGGGGCGGGATGTCTAGAGGAGAGGGGAGGGGGCGAGCGCACGTTAGCAGACGCTCCCTGCATCAGGGTTGCGAGGTGAGAGGGGGGAGCATAAGAGAGGAAGGAAGTTGCGCATGCATAGTGTTAGTGCAGACGCCAACCCCAACACGGACGCCACGGGACATAAACCTAAGCAAGAGATTCTTCACATCTAAATTTGCCCATCCATGTTTCTAATAAAATGCTTTATTAACTGTTTTTATTCCCTATTGTGACTGTCAAACTCATCAAACCATTTCTCAGAGTCTGACACAAAAATTGAGTCCGCACACCCGGCCTGCAGACACCTGTGGTCGTCTGGTGGTACATTGATGACACCATAGTGTCTGGCGCGCAAGGCATGTACTATCCTACCAACCATCTAGTGCTTTAGATATGCCACACCCGGTGAATGATGGAGTCAAATGACTGCTCACGCCTGTGATAGAAAGTGCAGGACATTTTGCCGGGATGGTTTTCGCAGGCTTTGGAGGGGGGGGGGGGGGGGGGGAGGTTGCTTGGTGATTGGCGCTTATTTCAGATCTTCCAAAAAAAAAGAGGGGGACACTTGTTCGGCATTTAACCGTAGTTATGTGATGTTATATGATTTTAGTCATGCGAGTAGTTGTGTGGTTATTTTAGTCACGTGACTAGATGTTGCGAGATTCTACTCCCTTAACAAGATGTCACACGGTTTTCAGTCATGTGAGCAGTTACGGGATTTTACGTAATTTAGTAATGCGACTAGATTTTGTGTAATCTGATGTTATTTTTTGTGAATCGGCTAGTTGTTATGTGGTGAGACATAATACTATTAGTCACATGCCTAGCTGTTATGTGATTTTTAGTCATATGACTACTTCTTACATGATGTCATGTGAGCTTACTTTCATGACTAGTGGTTACGTGATTTTATGAGATATTAATGCCATGACTAGTTATTGTGTGATTTTTAGTACATAACATACTCGCCCGTCATGGCAATCCACAGCCAGACAAATCAATGAACATGTTGGGGAAGCAAAGAATATGAACAGGATGAAGCAATCACATGTCAGTTAATTTCTGTTCGTACTACCCAGCACAATGAAAAGCTGTAACTGCACCACAGTAAAAACCTATTGTCATCATGAATGGGTATATACTACAAAAACTGGGTAAACTCCACTATTGTCATCATGAATGGGAATATACAACAAAAACTGGGTAAACTCCACTACTCACACTGCCAGTCCACTAACAATGAAGAAGGCAACAGACAGGTGGCAAGCACCAATTAGGATTTCTAGACTGACGCAACCAGTAATTAGGAAAAATTTACTAAACTGTCAGAATCAACCCAGTGATCAACACCGTGGTGCACGTTTCAGCTGTGACTGTCTTTTGGTTAACTTGAATTTTTGTGCACTAAACAGCAACCTAGAAACAACCTAGCATCAACTAGTTATAGCTTAGCAACAACCTAGAAGCAACTGAGAAACAACCTATATAGCATCACCTAACTAAAAGCCTAACAACCTAGACAGAACCACATTATACTTCACAATCGCTCAGCGTGGCTGTTTCAAGCCTTGCATGACTTAGTGTGAGCTTCACCTTTTTTTTTTTTTGTAACTTTTTTGCGGTATGTGCTTTATTATGTTTATGTCAATCTAATAGAAAAATTATTCAGTTGATGGTCAGGGCTCGTCCTATAAGCTTCTTATCCTTTTTCTTGTCCTTTTTTCACACTGTTATTAGGAATGTACTCTCAAACTATGATATAACAAACATAGGTATGACGAATTATTTGTCATAACAAAGTAACTGAACAATAGCTCTGTCCTATAGATTCAGAGTTATAACTATATAATTATAAGGAAGCATTTTCGCAACAGATGTGACTTTGTAATAATGAGGTTTGAGTATATGCCAACTAGCACATATTCCAATGTCACTGTGTAAAACAGGGCGCACACATCAGAGAATATATTAACATGTAACACCATCCTTAATCTATGGTTCCCACTGTAGGACTGACACTAACTTTGGTTGCCAGAAATGAAAAATTGTGAGGTGACCCACAAGTGACTTGGCTTACGTACTACAGTCACAGAGTATGTAAAGTGAGGAGTCTCACATCAGGACCTGCACACATCAGTTCTGATTTAGATAGCTCAAAGACTAGTGAATAAAACTTGCGTGGATGTAATTAAAGGGGTACCGACACAAAATTTCAGGGCCGAGATAGCCTGTGGGGTCAATTCTCGTGAAGATCCATATACCATGTGCAAGATATCAACAGCGAATATAGCTTGGAAGGAATTTTAAATTAAGTTTTGAAGTTTGCGTGAGCGACCGACTCTATAGCGCTATACACACACTCGGAGGTGACCTTAAGATGACCCCCTACTTCTTTCACGCCACCACGCTGCGGCCAACAAAACCAGTTATTATGACGTCATAGCCACCATTTTTTTTTTGCTGCATTAGTTTCCAAAGTCTATATTTCTCGGCGGCTGGTTGCGAGTGCGTGGCCGTGGCGCATGCTTAGAAAGTTTTGTGTTTGGCAACATTCCAGTGCCGTTTCCTATTTGAAGGTAATTCTTGTTGCGAATCGTGCGGAAGTGCGTCACAGTTCTGTGTTCTGACGTGGTCAATAGTTGCACACACTAGGTGGCGGCAGTTGCACCCAGTTTTTGGAACTCTCTCAAACCAAAACTGAAACTGCTCGATAATTAGGGGCCTAATTTATTATATGTCGCGTGCTGCAGCAAACAATGTGTCGTGTCATGACTAACAGCCCTACAGCAACGCATTGCACCAGAAAAACGCGAGGCAATATTTTTTGTGTCAGTACCCCTTTAAGAAAAATTTAAGTGGCTTCTCACTCACTAAGTGACCTCCACTATGTCCCATGTTGTTCATGACCTTTTTTATTCTTGCTAAGACTACTAAACACTACGGAAAGCAAAAAGAGGGGGGGGGGAGGGGAATCAAATGTCACAGTCACAGCCTTGGGTCATTTTATCACTAAACCAGATGGCATCTCACGAAAACGGCTGTGTGTTCCATGCTTGACAAGACAATACCTGCCGCAACAACTAAATTTTCATGCTAGCACAAATACATAATTAGCTGCGATTCAAACTTCAAACCAAGAAATCTTGAAGTGTGGATTGTAAACTAAAGCACCTAAAGTTAGCAGCCTTTGATTCAATCAATCAAAATGAGAAACCACCAACTTCACCAATTTGAGCCCAATCACAGGGCATGTTTGCGGTTGGCACCAACATAGCATTGGCCATGCAGACCCTGTTCAAACTGTACGCACACTTCCCTTATCTCATCACTTCATAGTTGGCACTTGACAAGCTTTCAGTGAGCATGTGTACCAAGCAGACACCAAGGGCATGGCCCTGTTTTAGCGGTAGCTTCATGCGGTTATACCAACATGCCTGCTTTTTAACTTTGGTAATGTTTGTAACAAGTTAGCGCATGCATATGATGTGCTATCGAAGCGCAAGACTTTTCTAATTTTCACTTGAAAAGACTCGCACAAGCAAAAAGGCTGTAAGGTCCCACTTTACACTACCTATTCCAAATCATCACACTTAACATAAACGTGCCATGGGGAAAAGCAGTGCTGCATGACTGCACTGGGTTCTTGCTATCCTCAATGTCAGATTCAGCTGGCTTGTCCACTTTAGAAGATGAATTTAAAGCTTTGAGTGGAACGGTAGTTTTTTGCAACATTAAAGATCTGTTGTGAAGGCAGGTAAAAGTTATGAAAAAAAAACAAAGAAATAGCAATGTTGTTGTGTGCCACTTCGAAAGGGCAAATGTTGTAAGACACTACACACTGGCTACCACTGGTAGTTGAGCCCAGATACAATCCTGTCTTGATCACTGCTGGGAGGAAGAGGACTTTGAGCCCTGCGGTGAGTCACTACCACCTGACGACAGTGAGGAGCCACGGAGGAAGGAACGAAAAGTGATGTCCTTCAGGGGCCCTCGGCGAAACAAGCTCGACGCCTGGGGACCCCTAGCCTTCGTGGCACCCTCCTTACTGGCTATGTTCTTAGGGTCAGGGCCTCGATGCAAGCTCGGGTCAGGACCTCGCCGATTGTCAGGATCAGGGCCCTGCCATGGCATGTACTCACGCCTGCACCAACAAGAAATGAGCATCAGTACCTCTGCATCAGGCATTTTTTTTTGCTAGAAAACAAAAATAAAAAAAGCTTTCAGAAAAAATCATTCAGAATTAAACTAAACAAAAAAGTTTTCAGTTGTTTTTCAATATCTTTAAACTGAAAAGCACTTATTGGCAAGGAGTTGCAGTCAGCAATATTCCTGGGGTGCGAGTATTTTTAAAAGCAGAGGTGCGAGCAAAAACAGGTACCAATGAATATTTATGGTTACGTCTTGCTTTTATAGAAGATGGAGGTTTCCCACAGTTGGACAAACTTGTAACTTTACAAGAAAGAATTTTGTGTATCAATGTTAATCGATTAACTTTACTGAGAGATTCCTGCGTTCGGATGCCGTTAAGTTGCATAAGTTGTGTTGGCAAATCATGCTTTTTATATTTGCCAAAAATAAATCTTGCAGCCTTTCGCTGAACATTTTCAATCAAGGTAACATCTTTTTTACATTGAAGGTTCCAAACAAGCGAAGCATACTGAAGTTTGGATTTAATACAGGCATTGTATGCCACTAATCTTGTCTTCTTTGTGGAGTATCCAAGTTTCCTCTTAAGAAACCAGTTTCTAAATGCAGCTGTGCATATGCTTGTAATATGATCTGACCATGTAAGTATTTTGTCAAAGTGACTCTTAGATATCTGTATTTTTCTATATCTTTGAAAGGGTTATTGCAGCCCCGCTGTGGTGGTTTAGTGGCTAAGGTACTCGGCTGCTGATCTGCAGGTCGCGGGATCGAATCCCAGCTATGGTGGCTGCATTTTCGATGGAGGCCAGAATGATGTACGCCCGTGTGCTCAGATTTGGGTGCACGTTAAAGAACCCCAGGTGGTCAAAATTTCCAGAGCCCTCAACTACACTGTCTCTCATAATCATATGGAGGTTTTGAGACATTAAACTCCACATATCTATCTATCTTGAGTGGGTTATTGCAGAGACAATAAGTACAAAGGCTGGGAGCTCACTTTCTTTTTATTCTCTGGAGAACTGTTTTGTCAGTATTAAGTTCCATGCCCCAGTTTTGGCACCACTCATCTATACTTGTGAGATAGCTGAAGTAACATGCAGTCATTCACACAACATATTTTTTTTTAAATAACACAATCATCTGCAAATAATTGAATAGATGTATCCTCATTTATGACATCAACTAAACCGTGAACAAAAATTAAGAATAATAAGGGACCTAACACAATAGCTTGTGGCACACCAGAAGAAACATTTAGAGAAGAAGAATGACAACTCCTGACTTCGACAAATTGACTTCTATTTTTTAAATAAATATGCATGAATCCACTTAACAATGCCTGAAGAAAGGCAAACATTTTTGAGCTTGAACAAAAGTTTTCCTCACTAAAATCTAAAAAAAAAACCACACATCAGTCGGCCTAGGTATTCACCTTTTTGGTCAGTGTCAACATAGCAATAGCAGCAGCACGTGTTGCTTCCCAAGAAACTTACGGTTACTTCAATTATCTTTCTCTAATGCTGAAGCAGAAAACTTGTTTTTTAGTTGTGCCAGAGGGAGGAAAACTATTTTTCTGCTTTCTGGTAAAAAGAAGGTGCCTAAAGTTAATGACTAATTCCTATATTGTTGTGTGTAGCTTAGAAGAAAATGTGTTTGAATTATTTGCCAAAACAAAGGGGAGAAAAGTGTTGAAAATGAGTGAGCTATTCGCTAAGGCATTTGTTCCCCGCCAATGCTCCTAAACTATGCTGGTGCACAAAAACGGAAGCCGACCAGCACCACTGTTTGTAAACAGTGAAAGGGTCAATAGTATCTAGCACTCCTGTGAATTCATTCACGGTTGACACCAAGCTGACATTTTTTTGGAAACCACATTGATATGACGACAAAATATTATTTTCTGAAAAAATGTATTAACATAATTTGCAATAACACGCTCTAAAATTTTACAGCAGTTACTAGTGATAGAAACAGGAGAGTTTGACAAGGAATGACGGTCACTTTTTTAAAGATTGGCACAACACGAGCTGTACACCAATTGACTGGTATGGTACCACATTTGAGTGATGTATTGAAATGGGCACTAAAGAAGTCAGTAATTTGTTCAGCTTAGCAATGTAGGAATGAATTACTAATGCCTTGAATTATGATTGAATTACTAGTGAACTATAAATAAATTACTAATCTATGGACAGAAATACCATTTTCAACTGTGACAGTCGCTCTAGCAAAGCATTTCATTGTAAATGCTAGTACATGAAGCATCAAACTAAACTTTGCTGGGTGTGTTACCATTTGGTCAAGGCTAAAGGAAAACATTATGTCTGAAAGTGTGTCAGTTGAACAAAAAGTACCATAAATAATATCATCCCAGTTAATGGCTGAAAGATTGAAATCACCAATCAAAGAAATATTTTTGCTTAGTAGACATGGTAGATCCTCGTACAAACTGCTCATAAAAGAATCATAAGCATTAGGACATCAATAAACTGTGCAGATAAAAAATGACATATCAAAAAATAAGTTTCAAAAGAAGACTCTCTCTCACTGGAAAACGCTCAGCAATATATAGGTATATCAATGCCATGCTTGATACAGCAACTGCACCACCACAAGAACAGCGATCACATTGAAAAAGTTAGCAGTTAGGTGGAACTATCTCGCTATCGCCAATAGCTTCATGCAACCAAGGCTGTTACTACACATACATGTAGATGTGTTGTTAAATTGTTGGAAATTGTTAAAACTGGTATTAAGTGGGTTTGATAGTGCTTAATTGAGCCAGACAGGAGCACATGAGCACAAGGCATGCAATTAATAGTTATTAGAGTTTAAGATTTCAAAACGACCATATAATTATAAGAGATGCCGTAGTGGAGGGCTCCGTAAATCTAAGCACACGGGTGCCTCAAGCATTTCCACCGCCATCGAAAATGCAGCCACCAAGGACGCTATTCGATCCTGCGGCCTGCAGGCCAGCAGCCAAATGCCTTAGCGACTAGACCACAGTCGTGGGTGGAGGCATGCACTCAAGCTTTGTTGTGCAAATAGCAAATAATGTACTATGTAGCTGTTACATATGCTGCATGGTGTAGGTAGAGTGGCTGTCACAGTGTGCCACAACAAGCCCTCTTGTCACTGAGAGGCTCTGACAATCTCATGCCCTGATTAACCCTTTGTGTGACAGCGGGACACATATCCCTCTTCATAAAATATTTTCTCACACATCACCCGTAGTGATTAGTGCAATATTAGGTTACTCATATCTTACCTGATTCTTCATAATCTTGAGAAAAATTCCTTTACCCCGCTTTTTAAGGCCAGATATAGTTTTACAATGGCACTGATGTTTAGTCAATTTTTTTATGACAGCTTCTGAATTTTCCTCTTCATGAGATAGATAGAACCTACGAATAAAAATGCCTGATTTCTTTTTTTGCTTTGTGAAAGAGGTGATGTTAGCTTCCAGTCATCACATGCTTTTGTAAATTTGTGCTATAACTTGACCGATAAACACATTTGAACAATCCCCTGTGATATTGCCCTGCTCATCTCTCAGCACTGTTGTGGATATTGACACATGAAAATATTTTTCTTGGTATCATATACCTCTTGACAAAAAGACACATGTTCAGGGACAACACTTGTACTCGACAATTTCGAAAGTAAAAGCAAGGACAGCCATATAGACAAAAAAAAAAAAAAAACAAAAGAAGTGGTTGATACATGCAGTGAAGTAAACTTTGCAGGAACAAAACAGAGAGCTATGAAGGCTCATAATAGATGCAACTACAGGAGGTGTTCCCCTGTTGAAATGAGGCACTCAAAACTTCCCTCTTTCCAACTTAAAAAGTTACACTATGTCGCACTTGCTTTAGCAGTCTCGTCCCAAGATACCCGATGATGCAATTACGAAATGGCGCCTTTATGAGACGTGGAGACAGTGTTTTCACACTTTTTCAGAACACTTTCAGGAGTCAGTGGGACATATATGTGACACTCTTTTTCAGTAAACTAATGGCTTGATTTTGATGAAATTTGTTTCATATTATAATATTTCCTTATAGTTTATATCAATATACCACAGCTGGTTTTTGTATCACTGGGTCAAAAATATAGGACAACTTACTAAGAGTTAATCCCTGTGGCTGATGTACCTCTGTTGGGCTCGAACTTCGTGCGTTCCCCGAATACCTTATTGTTACCCACCCCGCGGCCGGCGACCCCTCGCCAACAAGGAAGCAGTGCCACCGGAATGCGGGACGATGACTGCTGGCCACAAAGGACGCGACAACTCCCCTGCACCAAGGAGTTCAATTATGGCGCCTTACAGGAGACCAAGCCAGGCTGCAGGTGGCCGGGCCAGGCTGCAAGGATGGAAGGTGCACGTGTGCGTCCGCCGGACAACCAGAATCAGCGGAGGCGACGGCATTTGTGCACGGGCCAATTGTATTGATGGCCTGTCAGCCCGGCATCGCGAGAACTTACTCGGAGGCGCTTTCCCACGACCCGGCAACGCCCGTCGTCGATCATTCCGGGAACCGGGGTGAAAGAAACCTGAGCGACGACGGAAAACCAATGAGTGGGCAAGAGGCGGTGGGTCTTCGAGGTTGTGGCGAGGAGAAATCCGGGCCTGGAACTTTCAACGGCAGCCAACCGGGAGTCGAGGAGAGACACATCCGTGCGTTACGATTGGACTGCAAGAGTGGTTGAATGGGGAGACAGGGGATAAAACCAGGGGTGCAGGGACAGTGCGGAAGAGAAAAAAGAACGAATAAACGTCTCTATATCCAGATGATGTCGCAGCGGTCGTTTCCTCAAGGTGCCAGCAGATGAAAAGTTCTCGTCTTCGGCTTCCTTGGCAGCAGCAGCAAATGTCGCGCAACAAGCGAGAGGCGAGTGGAAAGAACCAAAACAGAACGTAACTGGCGCAGTCGAGCAGGATCTGCATGGCTGAACTGAGGAGGACAGCGGGGAGCGACATCGGCCGGGACT